AGAGCCGCCTCGACCGCGACAGCTCCGCAAAGTCGGCGAATCGCGAATGTTCAGCGACTCCGTGGGATATCGGTTTCGTGCCGTTCGCTCGCGTTCGGTTCGAGCCCCTTCCGAGGCGATCGTGGACGGATGCCAGTGCGTTTCGTCGACGATAGGCCGCGAGTACCGGGGCCATTTAAATTTAGCACGTCTCTCGGACTCTTCGAGCGTAGAACGCCGCGAATCGTCCGAATCGCCCGCATCGCAGCCGAGTCGGGCCGAGCCGAGCCGAGACGAGACGAGACGAGACGAGTCGGATAACGATCGCCTAGCGTCGATCCGCCGGCTGGCGACGTGCCATCGCTATTGGGATTCAAATTTTCACCGAGACCGTGGTCGAACCGCGTTGTATGTTAATTCGAGACGAAACCGTTCGGGAGACACTGCCGCGTCCTTTCCTTCCTCGTTTCCTTCCTCGTCTCCTTCGTCGCTGCGCCGCCTTGCTGCTCGTCCGTCGCTTAACGCGCGCAAAACGTGGGAAGCCTATTGTCGGACGACTCTACGCTCGCTAACGGTTAGACGCGCGTGCTCGTACGATATATCCGGTCGACCGAGTTTCGCGGTGGGAAACCCGCGAGATACGAAATCGCGCAACGCGAGCGTCGCGTCCTTTCGATTTCGTTTCCGTGTCCGTCGCCGTTTCGATCCCCCGCTTCGTCGCGTCGGTGTTATTCGTCGACTCTCGCGACTATCTAGCCGCTCGCCTCGCTCGCCTCGCTCGCCTAGCGAGGACGGGAATAGAAACGTAACCGGGTGCAGAGACCGTTGGCGTCCTAACCGTGCGATACCCCTTTTACTCTTAGAAAACATTAGACTCGGAGTCGCGGCGGGATTCGCTCCGCGGTCGAGGAGAGCCGCGCGAGGACCGCGAAACGGCGATTCGACGAACGATCCGCGAGTTCGCGAAACTCGCGTAATTTTAACGCGACCCATATTCCGCGGGCTCTTCCCGAATCGATTCGCTCGGCCGTTCGCGACCGCTAAAAATATTCCTCGCGAACGCGCGACGTTTATTTCGGCCGAGTCGAAGCATCTTTGCGTTTTACACTTGAACTTGTTCGGCGCCTCCGATTTTTCCTTCTGGCTTCTCCGTACTCGCCTCTGCTCCGTTCCCCGCGCGCTCTTTGGTCTAGTCGGTTCGTTTTCGTTCTTTCTTTGTCCTCCTCCTTGCCGCTTTAATCGGTTCGCGCATCCTCTCGAAGACTGAAGCGCCGTGCGCCGTCGAAACTATTCTCGGCGGAGAATCCGTGGCCGATCGATCCTTTCTTTTCCCCCGAGTAGCTTTCATCGACGATTCGACGCGCATCTCCAGCTTCGATTTTATTCGAGCAGGTTTCGAGAACGCCTCGGAGAACGAACCGGGTCTCGCGTTCGTTCGGTCCGCGGCACGAGCCGTCGCGTTCGTACGAGCGTACCGAGCTACGGCGCGACCTTCCCCTAGGAATTGCCGCGACATTTCTCCCCGGAGCGGGAAGGGATTCGGGGAAAGAATCGAGGAAAGTTTCGAGAAAATCGCGCCGCTTCTGGCACGACGTCGTTCGAGGTAATCGGAGCGGAGGAAGCGCTCGTCCGACGAACGGCGGACCTTGCCCGTAGACTAACCCACTTGCCGTATTTCCAGAACTGGCTCTATTCTTATCTCGGCGTTCCTCCGTCGGAAAGAACGGTTCGACTAACCTTTGCTCGCCGGGTTTATCGACAACCGACCGGGAGCGTCGAATTCGAGCCGACGCGGTTCGATTCCGATTGATTTTCCGGTCGCCAACCTATGCACAGCTCGCGTAGAACCTATCTACAACGAAGCGTCGATTGTTTTCGCGACGATGCGCGGCTCCTCCGCGCTTCGAGACGACGTCCCGTGACCAGCCGCGACGCGGCTTCCAATATACCGATTCGCGGTCGCGACGCGTATCGCGCATTGTCCGTGCGTAACGGAGCTAAATGGGTTAATATGCACATCCGTACCGTTGGCTGCGTTATGTCACCGATGCCAACCCAATTGAATGCGCAGTGTCGCGTACCGGGTGTCTCGAGTCTTTCGAGCGAGCGACATTTTCAGACCCGGAAAACCGAGCGAGACCGGCGGAGGCCGAGGGAAACCGAGGAAAGCCGGAGAGGCGATGCGTGTCGCAACGCGCGCGTTGAAAAACCCGAGCGGACCGGAATTCGACGGTCCGAAGCGGCGAGACGGGAAAAAACTCGATCGAATGGGATCCAACGCTTTCGACTCGTATTCCTCGGCGAGAAGTAATGGCTCTGCGATTCGTACGCGGTGTTTTCTACTATTCCACGGTTCCCGGGGTTCCGTTGGAAAGCAAGTTTAAACGTAGCGTGACTCCTCGGGCACACTTTCGCGAGGTCGGGTCCGAGTGGGACGACGAACGCGGTCGCGCGGCCGCTCGGAAGCGCGACAGTCGCCAAACTTCTCGGCGAAGCGATACCTTTTTCATTTTTTATGGGTCGTTTCGTCGCGTGCTCGATACGGCGCGCCGAAACGTTAGCGCCTGTAATAAATGTCAACACCGCTGCGGCCAACCGAAAGGTTAACTCTCTTCGTCATCGAGGAATCGTTAAGTCGAATTTTTATCGTTCCGGTCGAGTCGTTTCGATCCACGATCCGCGATCCACGATTCCGTATAGCCCGACCGAAACCGCGTCGCGGAAACTCGCGGAAAGCGAATCAAGGGCACTCGGTGAAAGCGAGCTTTTCGAAACGGTGACTTCACGAAGCGAGCTCGTACGGCGAAAAGTCGAACGTCGCCGATCCCGCGAATCGATTTTTCGCGCGAACACGGATTCAGCTATTTTCGAGAATTTTCGTCTCGACGAACACCGGTACGCGTTACTTTCTCTTCTCGAGCGGATACCGTATGTTTCCCGAGAAAGTAATATTTTGCTAGAATCCGTTCTAGTTTAGGTCTGTTTCCTCCGTGTCGTCTAACATTGCAGAGTTTCTTGAGACGTTACACGATGGATTAATAGGGCTTAAAGCGCAGAGCTTTTTCTCGGGACGCGAGTGGACGCGCGCCGCGCGGTCGCCGATCGACTCACCTTCCACCGACTCGATTCCTCTGCGCTGAAACGTATACTTTATCGAAACCGTGAAACCACGTTTGACCCACATATCCGATATCGGGCTTTCGAGCCGATACTTGCGACACCGCGCAACGCGATCTCAGGGAACGGCACGCGAGCCGGCGGTCCGTTCTTTTTCGTTTCTAATTTCTATTCCGAAGCTTCTCCGGCTCCACGCCTCGCGAACCGCGGCAGCGTCGTGACGAGAAATTCGGAAATTTCAAAGCGAACGAGATTACGCGATTCGCCGCGTCGCCTCCCCTCCCCTGTCGCTCCGCCGCGCGAAACGCATTTTAATCGAATCGTTACCTCTCTGTTTCAGGATACATATGCAATGCCAGCAGCACGCTACAGTCTCTCGCACAGCTACACGGTGAGTAAGACCTGCTCGTTCGTTGGATCCATTCCACCTCTGTCCGATCCCCTTTGTTCGCGGTCTATTTCCTAAATCGCGTACGTTAACGTAACCGTCCGAGCAACGGGACGGCCCGAGACGAGACGAGACGAGACGAGACGAGACGTGTCGGGGCGCTTTTGGACCGAGTTCTCCGTTGACAAAACTTTCTATCGGAAGCCAATTTCGTGCAAAGAATTGGGTCGGATACGCGTTTAAAACCTCTCGCGATTTACGAGTTGGCTAACCGCTCGAGCGGACTCGCGTTCGAAGACGAGTTCGATTGCGAAACTCGTAAACGAGTCCCGTTCCGCGTGGAATGTTACGCGTCCGTTCGAGTAACAGTCTTTCGTTTAATGGGACAAAATCGGAAAGCTCAACTTTATCGGACGCGATGTTTTCCGTGCGAAAACATTCGAAAAACCCCATAGATTACAATTCTACGTGTACATGTGAAACGTTGCTGACTATTTTTCACGGATTCTTCAGGTATTTCCGTGAAACCGTTAAGAACAGTTAGTCGGTAGACAATCGACGACAGCAATGGAGTATTTTACAATATTATCGGAATCGATGCAGCTTCGTATTCTCGATAAAAAAGTATTAGGGTACTGACGCGAAGTATAAATTAGTTCGAAAGTCCGGAGTTTTTTCCCGAACTCCCATATACACCAAACACTGTGAATCGGTGCGAACGAGCTTAGCGCGCCTCCGCTAACGATACGGGGAATCGTTTGACCTTTTCGGTTCCGTCGATATGGGAACTGTTGTCGATGCGGTTTGCTACGTTTCCGTTTCTCGACCGAGCTCCCCGTTTCGTCGCTGACGATGCGAATGTTGGCTCGAGTCGATGCGATTAGGTGGGAGCGGATCTCGGTACAATTTTTACTCGGGGTGTAGGGGAGAACCTGGTCCTTTCTCGTCGAAAAAGGTCTCGGATTGGTCGTTGTTCGGTATCGGAACCGGTGTCGGAGGATACGCGTGTCCTCTAATTCGCGCGACGATCGGATGTCGCGTGGAAACGGAAGAAAGTTTTCGACGCGAAGTCCAAGTTCCAGTTACAGCGCACTATGCTTCGCAATTTCGAGCGGACTCTGAATCGTATCGAAGCCAAGGCGCAAGGTTTTCCTTGTCCCACATTCCTAGCATCCTTGGCAAAGTTTCGCGATGATATTCTCCGTTTCCAGAATGAGCGTAATCGTCCTCGGCGCGAACCGCGTGCTCCGACAGGACCATTTTATCCGATTGTCCGTTTCGCCCCGTATTTCTGACTTCGATAACTCGGCGGTAATAGGCGATATTCGAGCGATCGAGTCCTCGCGGCCAATCCGCGGAGGAGATCGATCGGGTTCTCGATAGAATCTCGACTCGTTCGAGAGAGCGATCGCGCGCGTCCCTGGCTTCGTTCTCGTTTGTCTTCGGTTCTCCGATTCCGCCGGTAACCTCAACGCGCTTTCGATCCGTCGTATCGAAGGATAGCCGGCCAGTGCGGTCGGGAAGCAAACTCTATTCTCGTAATTCGATCGCTTCCGATCGATACACGCCGCGCGATAACGGTGCACCGTTCCGTTTCGTGCCGAGGTAAACTACGACGATAGTAACCGGCGAGCAGGCAGTTTTGTTTCGTTCGTTCCGATTCGAGACGCGACGAGACCACGTCGAAAGTAAGTACTTAGGCGAGACGCCTCGCGATTCAGGTTGCGCAACACTTCTGAAAGGTCAGGAGTGCACCGCGCCGGCGATATCCTCTCTTTCGAGCGTGTTCGTCGCGTCGACATTGATTCGACGGGTATGGAATTTCGATGGGTCGCGTTCCTCGAACGATTACGACCGCGATCGAGACGCTCGGTTAATCGGCGCGTTTCAGGATCCGTTTGCCCGGTGCACGGTGCGGTCGATCCGATTTCGTGGCTCGCGTCGAAATTGTCCACCGCGTAAACGCAAGCTCGACTCCCTGCTAGCTCCTTCTTCTTTGATTCTTTTATTCCTTTGTTCCGCTCTCCTCTTTCCGTTGGCGCTCCACGCGATCGGTGTGCCGCGTCACTGTTTTCGTGGTCTTCCTCCTCTGTCGGTGGTCGGATCGTGACCCGTGGATACGAAGGGTCGAGAGGGCGAGGAAAGCGAGACGCGCGAAACGCGCGAAGCGGAAGTTGGAGTGGCGGAGTGGCAGCTCGTCGAGGTCGGCGAGACGAGAACGCGGGAGGGCCACCGTAGACGCGCTGCCACTCGAGACGCGCGCTCGTTAATTCGCGGGATTTTCTAAGTCGTTGATAATCCCATAATTACGAATTTTTATGATTCGCGCGACGACCGAGCGAAAGAGCGGCGCGAAATCGACGCGGCCGGATAGAGTTTCGGCGGGGCCGAGGAGAATGCCAAGCGAGAAATGAAAAATGCAAAATGGGAAAAGGGGAGTGTTTTAATCGTTGCTTTTCACCGGGTACTTTTATCGCCGTCGGCTAGACCAGGCTCAGCGGCGCGATTCGAATTCTCCGTGGAAAGAGTAACTGGATCTCGCGAGCCCTATCTGGAACGAAACCGACCAATGGAACGAGGAGAACGGATAAATCGTTGCAGGGAATTCGAGGGGGCGCGCAGGGCAGGAAGACCGTCATGAGAGAAGAATAGCCGGCATCGTCCATGAGACAACGTTCGTTATATTCCCTCGACAATGGCCGATTATCGCGATAAACCCTCTTCTCCCTACGTAACCGGCTTTTCCCTTTTACGCTTCAAATTGGATTAGATGACGCGCTTTTGTGCGCCACCGTCTCGCCTCGCCTCGTCTCGTCCCGTCTCGTCTCGTCTGGCCGTACGCACCGCGCTTCGCGCCACGTGGCCCGTTTCCACCTCCGTCGGGTTCCTCGGAATGTCGCTGATTTTCGCGTTCCCCGTCGTCGTCGTCCCTAGGACTCTCCGCTGGAAACGCGAAGCGACACGGTGAAACCGAAACGATCCATAGCCGACGGGTTCGCGCGATTCCGCGTCGACGTCGCGCCCGGAAACGTGTGCAACTGGAAGGTGCAAGCGTTGCACCGGCGTCGAAGCGCTACGAAATCGCCAAGAGAGCGGGGTGGCGTGCGGGACGAGCCGATGGTTGGAAAGGGGCATTAACCTCGATTCGCTACCGCGAGCGCGAGCGCGAGCGCGAACGCGAACGCGAACGCGAGCTCGTTTTTCCTTCCGTCTACACGGATTCCAGCGGTTCGAACGTTTCGTCGCACGTATCCGTGACACACGACTCGTGTTCCGCCACGAAACTTGGCGAACGGTGCACGGTCGAGTACGAAAATGTACTCGCGACAGCCTATTTATCCCATCGGTCGGGCGTCGCTCGCCGATACGTCCACACCTCTCTCCATCGACGACCCGTATCGGTTACCCTTTCGATTCGAATCGCTCGTGCGCGTCGAATAAAACGTTACGTTCGGTTGATAAATTGGTCGCCCGGTCTGTTCGAGCGACTTATTCGCGCGGCGCGTTTTCGAGGAAGAACGGGAGAGAGCAACGATACCGAAAGAGCGCGATAGTCGGCGAGACAGGAACCGGCACGAAACGAAACGGAACGAAACGAAACGAGCGTGCACGGGCCAGAGCTACCTGTAATATTGATCCGTGCGGGATCCCAGCAGCGAACAGCGCGATCGGCGCGCTTCGAAAGGGTGTTTCGTTGACATTGCCCCGTCCTCGAACATCGAACGCGCAAACGAAAACTTTCCGTTTTCGGGTAGTTGTTCGATCTCCTCTTTCTTCCTCGCTTCTCTCCGGTTTCCCTTTTTTTCGGTGAAACCCGACGAGGGGTCGGCGACGACCGAGGGAGGGTATCACCGCTCGAGGGAGTCGCTGAACCAACCACGGTGTCCCTTGGGTTACCTGCGATCGATTCCGAGGGGGACGAAGTCCGGCTGTGGCGGTGCCGCCTCGCGCCGCCTCGCGCCACGCGTGGTCGCGCTCGCGATGCTCGTGCACGAGCCCGGAAAACTCGCCAATTAAGCGAGCTGTCCGCCTCGGCTTTCTTTTCGAGCCGTTTCCCTCGTAAATGTTCGAGGTTCCAGTTTTCTTGGAAATATCTCGAACCTTTGACCCGCCCGACCGCTTCGCCTCCATCGACCAGCCGTCGATGGAACCCTTCGACTTGCTCGCGATAATGGACCCCGATAACATCCGACCAAGGAATACGCGTCCTCCGAACTCTGGATTTTTCATGGAGTTTTTTCAACCTCTCCAACTTGGAGCCAACTCTCCCGAACCTCGAACTTATTATCGTGCCGAAAGCACGACGAAATCGTTAAACACCGGGCATTTTGTAGCTTGCTTGGCGTTACAAACTTTCCACGGATATTCCTTCTACGATAATAGGACAAGTAGGAAAGCGGTGCAACACTGCAGAAAGAAAAAAATGGTTTTTCCAAGGAATGCCTAGCGTTTTCTCTACGACTTCGCGAGAGAGCGCGTCGGCAGAGGTCGAGCTGGCGGCGGTCGGCGGAGGCGATTCACCGGGATGACGCGTCAACGCAACGACAAAACTTCCCGATCGACCTATCTGCCCGCATCGCGTCCCTCGTCCCCGATGCCCCTCTTCCGAACTAATCCGAACGCTATTTCTTTCCACGCTGTGTAGATACACCGTACGCGCTCGACCCTCCGCTCGACGAATTTTAACCTCGACGCGTAACGGAATCGCGCGGCGGACCGTGTCGCTCGCGAGAAGGAAAGAGAGAGAGAGCTGCTTGAACAAAAATAGCCGAAACCGAGAAAACGCGGCTCGAAAACTCAAAGACGAACCAACGCGAAGGTGGAAAACTTGTCGAAACACGCAATTGTATTCGTAAAGAGAGAGAGACAGAGAGAGAGAGAGAGAAGAAAGGCATTGAGGAAGGGAGAGAAGCTTAGCCCGAATTCGATCGAAACTCACGCGGGGGTTGTCGAATGATTAACGAGGAAGGAGAAGGACGACGAGACCCTGGGCCCTAAAACCTTCGAATCGATACGAGCGCGATGTCGACTGCCGTCTGCCAGTCACCCTCCGCGTCCATGAAACTTTACGCGTACACCGAGACCCGATCGACGCGATTTCGTCTCCGCGTGCGCGACGATTGCTCGCATCCGATACACGCACGGATGAATCATTGTTTTGTTCCCGGCCTAAAAATAGGCATCGCGACTTTCGATCGAAATCCCGACAAAAATAACCTCGACTCCGTCGAACCCGAGTAATCGATAACGCCGCGCTACTCCTCTACCGGGGACTGGAAAAATCGTACGGGTGGAGGGCATCTCGGCGCTGTACGTTCGTTTTCGTGCTGCGCGAAATTCTCTTGAAATTTATCCTCGAAACGCTCGAAAAGCTACCTATGCGCACTCGCGTTCGTGTTCGTTCGTCGGAACTAGAAAAGGATGAGGATCGAGCACAATCGTGTTCGATTGTTTCGTGAACGCGGCGACGATCGCTTCCTCCCGCAACCGTTGTTTCCGAGCATTTGTCGTTTTCTGTTTTCCCTTAACGATACTTTAACGAAAAACGCAAACGGTCCGATTTCCGCGATTATCCTCTCCGTCGTTTCGCGCGAATTTCCCAGGTTTCTTGCTCCCTCGCCGCGTCGAACGTGCAAATTCACCGAGAATGGCGACGTTCGTGAGAAGAGCGAGGTTTCCCGTTAGAAGAAGATACAGTGAGTTCGATGGCGTGGTCGGGTGTCACGGAAATTTCGTTCGCCCGACCTCGCGGCAGTTTTATTCGGCCCCGACTCGGACCAAACCGCGTTTCCTCCGTGTTGTTGAGCGCGGCGACCAAAGATCGTCGTACTCTCGAACGACCGGTTACGTCGTCGGACCGGATAAAATCGAAATGTTATCGTCGTTCGTCGGAGGAACGAACCTCGGACGAGAGAGAGACTGGAAACTAAAGCGAAAATGTTTGTTTCGTTGCAGGCAAATCACCGTTCTTCCCTAGTCTCGACGAGCAGACCGGAACTCTGCTGGAGGATCCGAACGCCTCGAGCCAGCTGGACGGCGTCGGAGTCGGCGTCGGAGTGAGCGTCGGTGTCGGCGTGGGCGTCGGTGTCGGAGTCGGAGTCGGGAGCGGGATAACCGGCTCCCAGGCTGCACCGCCGCTTTCATCGCCGAGTCGCAGCAGTCCTCACAGTCAGGGTAGCGAGACGGGAGAACGGTTTTCTAGAAAAGTATTTGTTGGTGGATTACCGCCGGACATCGACGAAGGTACGGGCTCTCGGCGCTTGTCGGTGCACCCATCTATCGGTGGATGGACGGGAACCGAAATGTTTGTAAACCGGCTACTCGGTTCCCTCGTCGTTTATCTCGTCTTCTTCTCCTTCCACAGAAGAGATCAAGGCCAGCTTTCGTCGTTTCGGATCGCTGGTGGTCGATTGGCCGCATAAGGCGGAGAGTAAATCCTACTTTCCACCGAAGGGGTACGCCTTCCTGCTTTTCCAGGTACGCGCGAATCCCGGTCGTTACCGATCGACCGATCGGGGGCATTTTTTGCCCTCTCTATCTTTCCTTCCCTCCCGTCTTTTTCTTCGCATCGTTTCCGTCACGCGTCGTTTCCAATCGCAGGACGAAGCTTCCGTGCAGCAGCTGATCGACGCGTGCATCCAAGACGAGGAGAAGTTGTACCTGTGCGTCAGCTCGCCGACCACCAAGGACAAACCCGTACAGATCAGACCGTGGCGACTGAGCGACGCGGACTTCGTTTTGGACGCCTCGATGCCGCTCGACCCGCGGAAAACGGTATTCGTCGGTGGCGTGCCGCGACCGTTGAAAGCCGTCGAGCTGGCCATGATCATGGACAGGCTGTACGGCGGCGTCTGTTACGCCGGCATAGACACGGATCCCGAGCTGAAATATCCGAAAGGAGCCGGCAGGGTCGCCTTCAGTAATCAGCAAAGCTACATAGCTGCCATATCGGCCAGATTCGTTCAGTTGCAGCACGGTGACATAGACAAAAGGGTGAGTCAGACGCAGCTACGCGCTCCCCATTCCCATTCCTATCCCCTTTCCCATCTCCATCTATCCCCGTCCCCGTTCGCACCGTTCAATTCTTTATCCCTGTCCCCGCGACGATCGTTTGCCTGGAATCGTTGATTTCTCATTTTTCTCGTCCGATTAAGGTCGAAGTGAAACCGTACGTTCTGGACGATCAAATGTGCGACGAATGTCAGGGGCAACGCTGCGGAGGCAAGTTCGCGCCGTTCTTCTGCGCCAACGTTACCTGTTTGCAGGTAAGCGTATTCCCGTTCGATTGATCTTCGACTGTTCGGCACGCTTCGCGACCACGAGAGAATTACAAACGCGCTGTTTTCCTCTGTTGCAGTACTATTGCGAACATTGCTGGGCAACGATTCATTCTCGACCGGGTCGAGAGTTCCACAAACCGCTGGTGAAGGAGGGTGCGGATCGGCCTCGAGCCGTGCCTTACCGCTGGTGTTAACCCCAGCTGCGTTGTCCCTAATTATCTCGCAACCCTAGCTAATTAACTACCACTCGTACGAATTCCCCCATTCCTCATCCTTATTCCCGCGAGACCCACTACCCACCACTACATCCCACCAACGCGTCAACCGAACTCAACTTAATCCGCCTCGCCTCGCCTCGCCTCGCCTCG